CAGCGAGGGTGAGCACATCTTCTTATACCTGCGCTGTGAGGTATTGTAGGCGGGGGTATGGTTATTCTTGTGTACCATGCGCAAAGGCAAAGAAAATGTAATATTGAGAGGTGATTCGCGCTTCCTCTGATGATGCGCATGTGATTGACATATTTATATTCCCTAAAATCGAGAAAAAAAAAAAAAAAAAAACATTGCGCCGTAGCATTTCTATAGGACTGACAAGGCCGAATTGACTTTACACGAGCCGGTTTTCCGGACTCTTCCTCAGATTAGACACTCTGACTGGCTGCACATCATGTATGTGAGATGGTATTTTCACTGCTGTGCGACATATCCCACGGTGTCATACTCTGGAGAGAGAGGTGTTCAGTAGCATCAGCCTACATGCCATCTATGCAACTATCTCACTCATGCCACGTTGTCCCAGCCATCGAAGTAACATTACCGGCACTGTCAATCCCAAGTACTAACATTCAGCAAGTAAATCTCTCCCATGTGAAATGAAGATTGAAGAAGGATAAGCATAGTAATCTCGTGTCTCAAGAGATGTTTATGTGTCACGTAAGCCGGAGACTAAATTTATGCAGATGCACTTGGATCGGTCCTACAGCGATCATTAGCTATCGAGGCGAGATAACAACCATGCAAAGTCGAGAGAAGCATGAAGCATGTGCCGCTACTCTCATTCGATCCCAAACTTTATTTGCTAAACTGATCCGGACGGAGGAGGAGCTCTATTCTCTCCGGGGTGCTCCCAGCATTTCGGCTCCTCGTATCGCCAACAATGGTCTATACCCCTTACTGTGGTTCACGCACGGGAGTCAGAAGATCCTCGATTAAGTTGTGCACCGGACTGCGGTGTGAATATTTGAGCCAATCTAATCATCAGCCAAGCCGGCAAACAGTCAACTATGAGAAAGTAAATTTGGAGTTCTGACTCGGATGGATAACGGTGGAACATTTATTAAAATCAGAATACAAACGCACGGGAGCCTACATAGAAATATATAATTCAACTTTAGTGGATAAGGACTGAGATACGCTCAATGGACATAGTGCAACTGGTAGGCTGTTTGCATAGGTTTCCTTTGGGGGGGGGGGTTGCGGTGGTATTGAGAAGCGCGAGCGATGGTCTTCCAAAATGGATGGGGAAAATTCAATCAAGGGAGATCAGAGGAGGAAGAGGAGAGAAAAGGGAAGAGAGAGAGAGAGAGAGAGAGAGAGAGAGAAAGGAAGGAAAGAAAGGACGGAAGAATAATAACGTTCAAATAGACGACCGCAGATTAGAAGGTATGGGATTTGCATCCATGATCTGCCACAGAACAGTTACAGTAAGAACCAAATCCCAATAAATTGTCCCGAGGGCCAAACAAACTAGAAGTAAATAGTACTCGCTTAACACCAAATGCTTGAGGACAAAAAGGAAGAAAAATATTTAAACGCTACCCAGGAAAAACAGTTATACATAAATATACCCTCATAACCATACCCAATCCGGTCTCGTAATGATGCATTAACAAAAACCCATCGCACCGGCACCGTAACCGTACACCTTATGACCCGAAAACCAGACGCCAGAAGTCGCCAGAAGGACCCCAATGCCATGGATACTAAGTCCGAAACAAAAGAAAGAGAGCCTCTCCTTCTTGAGGGTTGTCAGTTTGTCTTGATCTCGTATAGCTAGCGAGTGTAAACACGATACTTACACGCCGTCTCAGACGAATGCTGCTCCAATGACTCCAGTTCGGCTAACTGACTTTCCAAGTATGCGCATTCTTCAGTAAGACTCTTGATGAGATCTGACTGCAGCATATGTGCATTGCTGCCTTCCTCGGTAAATTCACACTGCGAAGGCGTTCCCCGGAGACAGCAGGGTGTACATGGCTTGAGGTGATCGCACTGGATAAGTACACACACTAGTCAGTTATGTCTCTTCAAGTTACGTAACAAAGTAACCTTAGGGTTCTTCAAGAAGCGACCAAGACCCGGGCAGGGGCTATCAGGGGACTTGCCTTGACTCTCCGCTTGTGACATGGAAGACAAGCATAGATGGGCCGTCTCTTCTTTTCCGTTCGATGAGCCCCCGAAGAGGTTGGAGATTCGGTATCGTCGGCCATAATGACTTGCAATTGCACTGCACTGAGAGAGAAACTACGGGTTGTCCGGCTGTAGCCTCATAGTACTAAGCAAAACTAAGGGAGAAGAGACTGGACTCGGGCCATTGCGAGACAAGGGTTGTAGTCAAAGAAAGAGCAAGCAAGATTAAAGACAATCTCGCACCGGTTTTTAATGGTATATAAACCATAGATGATACAGCCAAAAACACCCTCCCCCCCCCCCCCCCCCGGCAGCGCACGAGCCCACGAACCATAGAATGGAAATACAGATATGTTGAGTAATAACTCAAATAGGCATCTATCATCATGCCATTGCCATTCTGGGTAGCTTCTGCTTTGAGTGGAGATCCTCAAAACCCGGGTATCATGCAGACACCATCGAATTAAGGCTGGATGCATGCAACCAAAAACAATAAATTGATATGCTATAGCATGCCAAGTGATTGGGTCCGATTAACTCCTAACCATGTGGCATTTCGCTCAGAGTTTGATTTTACTTAATATTATTAAGATTATTATTTTCACATGTAATCGTGCATGAAGCTCCAATCGGCGTGTCTAGAGAAGGGACAAGAGTGGGCAAATCTCGAGGTGGGAATAGGGTATATCGTTGTGGGCATGGATCTAGACACCCAACTAGGCACAACCATTTAATTTCTTTCAGCCCTGAGGGCTGAACACAATCAAGGGATTACCTGGTAACGAATGAGGCGAATGGACAACCACCTCCACCCAAGATCGAACTGTGGCTTTCCAACGGTTTCTGTGGCCCAGCAATAGTTTGCCACCGGATCTACAATTCCTCTTCTGGCTACATAACCGACGGATCCAGCCCAGAAGAGAAAGGTTCCACTGTGGCGGTGCTCGAGGTGGGCGATCAAGTTCCCAATCTAGTGGATATTTCACGCCCTCGACGGACAGATTATTGTGGCTGGTTTTGCGGAATGTCTCTAGTTTGGATGACCTTCAGGAACCGATGAGCATGTTATTGTCTCATAGTTCCCCTGTCGAGACCCGCAGCAAATCTCCTGTACCTTTCTACGTGGGGAAGAACTTATACCAGGAATTCGCTTCCAACTAGTAAAAGTGGTAGTAGTGGTAGTAGTAGGTAACCAATGGGGCCATACATGCAGGAACTGAACCTTGGATGATATTTCAGACTTGGTAAGTTTGCAGTAATATTCGTCCCATGTGGGGACCGACATGTGAAAGAGCTTAAGCAGACCAGAGTGACGGGATGGAAGAAAGAGTAGATCATCAGGAGGCATTGTGGGATTGAGGAAGTATTGCTACGTCTTTTCATCTGGTTCTCTAGGGCCATTTCATTCATTCTCGCTCTCAAAAGCATGTATGCAAAAAAAAAAAAAAATATTGTACAGATGATCATGGTCACGTAATCACTCTTAAATCCTTTGGAAGCCCTCGGTTTGGCATCTTTGTCCTTCCTTCAGTCAAGGATAGAGAACCGATACTTTTGATAGAAATACTGGGACAATTTCTGAGGAAACTGCCCCTCAATACTGTCAGCAGAGAAAACGTCACAGACAAGTTTCAATGCAAACCTGACCAAGCAGGCTAAAGCGAATGGAAAGTTTTGCACGCAGAATCTCATACTGCGGCATATGTTGCAGGCATATTGATAACGCCAAGTTAGTGATGCTCCGGTAGGGACTGCGAGGTAAAAGGCCCAGTATGAGATTGTTGTCGCACACACGTCAACATTAGGGTAAACCAGATCCCGTGGTCTACGGGCTTCAGATGCGGAATCGTGCATCTCGAATACTGGAAAATCGTCCATAACAGTGAAAAGCGCTTCGGTAGGTTCGGGAAGTGCATCAAAGGGTTGCGATTCCCTCCACTCTTGTAGGCGATTGACTATTTGCGTGGCTTGATCCTCGGCGGTGTACTCAAATTCATCATCTAACGAGGTACAGGGAGAAGAAGACTCCGAGCCTGGTGAGGTGCATCCCATTTGTCTCCAAAGCCCGGGAATATCCGCGGCGATGTCTAGTAAGCTGTGTAAGTTGCTTCGTGGGCTCGCTTCGGTCCAGGGGACGGTTTTCCAGTCGTCGTTAGCTAGAAATGTTCGTCCATGTGATATCGCGGAGAGGATCTATTTCAGTATTAGTTCACAGAAGCTCACTTATTTTCATATATCGTGGTCATCAGTGGGATGTACCCATGACAGGCGCAAATCTGCATAGATAGAGTGGCCCACGCCTTTGCAATGGTTTGATGGAGTTCGTAGGCAAAGCAAATCGAGGCCTCCTTGTTGATGCTTTACCAGAGCGTCCTTGGAGCCTCCTTCGTACATCTGGGGCCGTTTTATTAGTGGAATTGGGAAAAACTTGGACTTATCGGCCAAAGCTCACCTCAACCATGCCAAATAGAGTGATCGCCACGAAAACATCGTCGCGTAAACGTCTCTCAGCATCACATATCGCCGCCCCTGCTAATCGTAAAGCACATGTGTATCGAACCAGACCAGAATGGGTGGACTTTGGATCGCACAACATTTTGCCCATCAGAACAAAAGATGTAGCTTCGATGGCTGCACAAAGTAGAGGGGAGCTGGACCGCGTCTGGACCGCTTGCTCTAGCCATAAGGGCACCGTGCGCTTGCCGTCAACATCGACACTGAACACTTCTACTAGGGATTGAATGGAACGTTCCGTATGGGTGGATCGCGCAGGGAGACTATTGTTGGATTGCACATAGGATTGTGGTGATTGTTCTATACAGAACTTCGTATCTTTTGAGTGAGTCAGCACGGCTGATGGAAGTGTAAGGAGCAAAGCCGCCACATACCATCAAATTCCTGTTTCGGCTGCACAGCCTCCCGGCATAGAGATGTACTTGGAATTTTTCGATGTGTATTTCGCGACCGTGCTTGCTTTCCTCGTTGTTTGGGAAGGTCCGATTGTTGTGACGTGAGGTAGACAGGAATCTTCTTATTTGAAGCCGATAAGAGGGTGACGATCCGCTGTTCGAGGAAATTACGCCGCTGTTGTAGGCGTCGCAAAAGGTGTGCTTGCTCAATGAACCACCTATCTTCTAGTGTGACCGTGTATTCGCATTTCGCTTGTCGTCCTCGTACACAGCAGGCACTGCATGGCCTGACATGGTTGCACTATCCCACTTACTATCAGCACCATACGGAGTGGGTTCGCTAAGCCACGGCAGGATGAATTTAGGTAGGTACCTTAATTTTCTGAAAATGGCAGGGTATACATGAGAGCACGGCTCTTTGTTTTTTGTTCCTTCGGGGGGCTTCTGAAGCTGCACTATCCATAATGCCAAATAATCTTGGTCTGTATGTTTAGATTCCTTTGATGCACAGCGGGATTCGGGGAGGGATTTGGTTGTCTCAAAAAGGAAAGAAGAACGAAGAACTTGGAAGGAAGAGAGAAAAAAAAAAGGGTATATTTAGAAAGGGGGGGAGAAAGGTAGTACATGAGTAGAAAGTATTGGTATAGGCGTCTGGCCAGTCGCAACCTGTCCCAAGAAGAATTGAAGAACAACCTAGCTTAGTTTTGGTTATGTCGTTATTTGTCAGCCCACTTGACAAGCATCTAAAAGTCCTCCGGTGGGACAGGTTACAGTACTATATTTTAGTACTACGTACGTGTGTACTGTGTAGGTCGAGGGACGGGTCAAGGTGCAGATCCAAGAACCATGTCATTAGGGCTAAGGGAGCACTGAGTAGCGTAAGCTAGAGTAACTTCTCCGTGATCTGCAACATTGTAACCAATATCTCCTAAGTAGTCTATCTTGCTGTAAGCCAAGAACTGTAAGCCGGATCCTGCGCCACACTTGATATTCGGAACCGACGCTCGGCCGGAATGCTGTGGCTACTTGTCATAAAGTTATTCAAGGTACGACGATATGGGGATCCTGGGTTAGGGCTACGGAGTACTGGAACGATTCTTGCTGCTACAGAATCAGGTAAGGAGGGGGACAGAAGGAGGAGGAAGAGGAGGAGGAGGAGGAGGAGGAGGAGGAGGAGGTCTTGTGGGAATTGCGATACGGAGTGATCGGAATCTCAACAAGGAATGTGTGTATGTCTGTGCTGGGCTCCTCAGTACACGTCCCGCATATCTTGCGCCCATCAGATCTCAAATTCTCAATGTCAGTGAGAAACTTTGGACCAAAGGAAGCGAGTTTAGTTTTCTCGGTACGGTCGTTAGGACCAACCTTTCAAGCTAGGGCTTTGGATCCACCGGGTGGCAAACCATTCGGATTCCTCAGGCAGACCAGATAGTACTAGTCAAGGTTCCCCTTGTTTATATGGTTATGCAATCGTTTTATTCATAATTTTATTTGATTTTGATTTAATTCTAACGATTTATTTATTATTATTTTTATTATTTTTATTCTTAATTTTTTTTGTTTATGTATTTATTTATTTTGACTTTTCTGTCCCTATTGTTTCTTTCTTTTCGTGTCCCCCCCTTTTTGTTTTTTTGTTTTTTTTTTTTTACACCATTGGTTAGGGTGGAGGTTTGTTTTGAAGGATCTCTGAGGTTTTCCGACCTGCGGATCGACGAGGACAATTTGATTCATGGTTGCCTGTATTTTGTTGGAATGTAATGTAAGGAAAGTCAAGTGACTTTCCTGCTGAAAGGAGTGGAGCTTCTTTTTCATGGAACTAATTTCCAACATCCTGGTCTTAATACCTTCAATTAAGATCTAGTAGAGAGGACCTTTGGACTGTGTGCTCGGAGTCGCCGTAGAAAAGAGAGAGAGAGAGAGAGAAAGATATGAAATCCACTCAACACTCTAACTGACTCTCCCCATGAAAGCGCAAAGCTGAACCAAGTATACTGCTGCCTTGAAGGAGGCGACTCGAACCATGTCAGAAGAGATGCGCTTATTGCGGATGACAAAGGCCTCTGGCCCTTCGCTTGGACTACTATACATGACTTAGTACTTACTATACTCTACGAAAATAGCAAAGCATATCTCAATATTTGTACACCGCTGGGGCCATCTACCAATTGGGACCTCGGAGGGCTCGGTCCTATAAGCCTGCTTCGGTAGCGTAGGTAAATGACAAATCGCTGGAGGAGGAATGACTAGATAGACCAGTTGATCAACCAGTGTGACTATTCTCCGTGGGGGATTAACGGCTAACTGCAGAGTTTTGATTTTTGTCCGTGAAAACGGTCATTTGAATCAATTGGCAGCGGGAGAACCGCTGCAGGAAAAGGAGTGTGTGCCAGATCGTCTGCAGCCGACGAAAATGAGGAGTGTGGCGTCGTATAGTCTGGACCCGATGCACATAGTGACAGACAGACGTCTCGATCAGAGAGTTAGTCAGGCCTAGATCCGAAGATCGTGAGGCTATACCCATCATATCATAGTCATGGTGTGAGAGCTGCCGTAAATCTTGAGCATTCTCGATATCCTCCGACGGGAAGGTGGAATGTGGCTGAGCATTCGCCTAGGAAAATGTCGATCTGGTCGACAAATTCTCCGGGAGGCAAATGGTCGGTAAACTCTGCTGCTATGGACAAGTAGACATTCTGATCCGTCAGAAATGCGATCTATCGTTTGACACTGTTATTGGTTCCTCATGCAATAAAAGCATTGACTTACCCCGTCTTTTGCTTTCGATAGTTCGTTTCTGACTTTTCCGATCGGGTTGAAAAGAGAATTCCATATCTAGGAAACTATTTCCGACTATTTACGGGGATAAGGAGTTCAAAGTTCTTGCTCTTTGACGTCCCCAGGAAACAATTATTCCCACCCCCCTGCCCCTGATATCGACGAGTTCACAAGGGTAGATCTCAAGTCAACAGCATTGTAAGTATGTAATACTGTTGAGTCTCTCTCCCCTGAGAGAATGTAGATGTACATACTCCTGTACAATGCGTACTATGGCTTTTGATCAGCTGCAGGCTTCACCTGCCGTGGTCATCAGATCACCCGGTGTAGTACACAGAAAGAGAGGAATGCGTTTTCCGTTAAATATTTATGCTTTGCTCAGAGTCGTGTAGATTATCGTAAAGATACGTTCACAATATGTAAGTCGGCCAGGGAACAGTTTGTCCCCTATGTTCCTTGTGAGGTACCTGAGGCACCTGAGGCACCGTGCCTGGATATCATCTGATTTCCGCCCTCTGATTGGCCATCCATTTTAGCTTCAAGTTGACTCTCTTCAGCAATTTTCAACTTTTGTTCCCCGGATTTTCATCTTCAACCCCATCCTCGTCGTGCCGCCTCTTATCCGCTTACCCTCTTGTTCCTCTCATCCTTTACTCCTCTCGGCGGCATGTCCAAGGCGACTTTCGCCGCAATCGCCGCGGCTAGCGCGGCCACCGGAGCTGGCCTTACAGCGCTGCTCTATTCCTCTTCCACCCCTCGAACCCAACAGCAGCAGCAACAACAACAACAACAACAACAGATATTACCTCCATCTGCACCAGTTACCTCGACCACTCCTGTCCCGATCCAACCGGCAGCCCCGTCACTCGCCGCCAAATCCCTCGCCGGACCCGTCGACCCGTCCGGTATCTACCAATATGGCTTCCCCGGCCCCGTCGCCGATACCCTGCTCTCAGCTCCTCTAGCCGGCGCATACGACCGTCGCACGCGCAATCCCGCCTGGGTAGCCGAGCACATCACGCCGGCTTCGCTGGCGATGAAGAATGCGGACCGCAAACACAGCACCTTCTTCGAAGACACCACCATCCCTGCCGCCTTCCGCGCCAAACTAAATGATTACTTCCGTTCCGGCTACGATCGCGGCCACCAGGTGCCTGCGGCCGACGCAAAATGGTCTCAGGAAGCTATGGATGCTACTTTTGCCCTGACAAACATGTGTCCCCAGGTGGGCGAGGGATTCAACCGGGACTACTGGGCGCATTTTGAGGAGTTCTGCCGCGGCCTGGCCAAGAAGTATCCTTCCGTTCGCGTTGTAACCGGTCCCTTGTATCTCCCTCACCGTGATGCGGATGGCAAATGGCGTGTATCGTACGAGGTGATTGGCAACCCACCTAATGTTGCCGTGCCCACACACTTCTATAAGGTTATCTACGCTGAGGAGGGCCCCGCTTCTCCTACTGGAAAGGTTGCCTTGGGTGCTTTCGTTTTGCCCAATGCTCGGATCTCGAACGACAAGAGGCTGACGGAGTTTGAGGTGCCGGTTGAGGTGGTCGAGCGCGCGAGCGGCCTGGAGTTTGTTTCCAAGTTGGAGACGAACCGTCGCAAGCGTCTCTGCCAGGAAGTCAAGTGTGATGTTGTCGTGCGCGAGTTTAACAACTCTGCCAAGCGGAACTAAAGTGGCTATTAACGGAGTCCTGGGAGAGATTAGGCACCTCAGGCCGATCAGTGTAATTTTGGATGTAATAATTTCGGGTTTATAAATGGTTTATATAGTCCGGGCGTTTACGGGTTGCATTCACGTCGGTCGTTGTACCTATGAATACTTTTTACCCCCATATAGATCGTCAGTCTGCCAATTTTCGGCATGGTCTATCAGTGCCAACTATGTCACAAAGGATACCCCCTATCTATTACACCATACTCCATGCAATCAGTTGAATGCAGCCAGTTCAGCATTGAAATGCAACGCCCGTCTTGGTCGCTACGTTTCCACCACGCCCTGCAAACCCTGTTCCTTCTGAACTGATCTCTACTAGACCGGGCTTAATGATCTCCTTATCTTTCTTCTTTTTCTTTCCAGATTCCTTTCCATTCTCCGTTGAATCACGAGGTGTGATATCGGCCTCGCAAACGTAGCATAGAATTAACCCGTGAAGCGCAGCTGTCTGCTCTTGTTCTTCTTTGGTAGCATGTGGGTCTGGGGCATCGTGCGGCGTCATAAATTTGGTCACACAAGGAGAACAGATAACATGGCCACAAGGTTTGGTCACTGTAGATATGAATAGTCAGTTGGTCACCGCTGACCGAAGATCCAGGAGTGGAGGATTGTACTTACACATCGCCTTCAGCCCATTTGTTAATGTCTTCTTACAGCTCGGACAGATCCGCGCCATTGAACCGTCGGATGCTTTTTCCTCGGTGAAATGTACGTCGACCAGCGACTTGAGCGAATAGCTATGGCGGTGTTCATCCGTCGACCCGGGGCAAACAGGAGTCAATTTGACGGCCTTGTTGGCTGCAATCTCATTCGGATCGGTGTTGGGAGTGAGCGAGGGAACCCAGAATGACGGCAGAGCAGACTTGCTGGATTCAGACTGGCAATTATCGTCTGTCAGTATAGTACTTCCTAACAGGATACCCTTTTATTCCTACCTTTTCCTTCTTTAGCTCCTCTTTGAGCCGCTCCTGCTCTTCCCGAGCAACCCGTGCCATCTCCTTTTCATCGAGCTCAAACACCTTCTTCCGCTTGCCGTCCACTTCGATTTCCCTCGCCTTAAACGCAGCCAATGCCTCCGTAGCCTCCTCAGCCTTCCGCTTTTTATGATTGTCGTTCTGCGCTTGACCGGAGGATTTATTCTTTGCTACCCCTAATCCCATACTGACGAGCTCAAACTCGCGCAGCTCCCGTTCACGCGCCTCTTCCAACGTCCGCTCATCTTCTTCTGCGAGTCGTTTCTTGGCCTCCTCCCGTTCTCGTTCGAGTCGCTTGATCTCCTGTCGTTGGGCGAGGAGATCGTTTATGGCGCATTCGCGACAGAATATATCACCGTTTGTTGCGCAGGCGACGACGGGTGCTCGAGCGGGGTGTAGACACAGGCGACAAGAAGCGAATGGAAGGAAAGAGTCGCGGCCGATGACGCCGCGTTGGGTGCCCCATTGCGACCGGAGGAGGCCACGCTCGTAGGAAGTAAAGTGTGGGAGGGAGGTGTTACGTTTGGAATGGGCCATTATCGCGTGGGGTAAATGGTTGAGTATTTAAAAAGACATGGAGTGGGAAATTCTATTTCGGAATATCTTGCGGAGGATGAATGAGCTGCGGTTGTGGCGGGCAAATCGAGAGGAGATTCCTAATGGAAATTTTGATGGTTGATTGATCTAATCTCGAGCTAACCTGAGCTAGAAAATCGACATATCAACAGAAATATCGAAAATTCAAGTGAGGAAGATGAGGCCAAAAGCATGCAAATGAAATAAATTGGAGAAACCATGCCATGACATAATCATCGTCACGTTCTCTCCGCATTTATTCCAAAACCCCAATCGAGACATTCAATGTCCTTCCAACCTCACCTGCAACTCCAATTGAAATAGAAAATCATCAAGAGACAAAGGGCGATGAGGAATGACTATCCTCTTTCGCTCTCAAGTCCAATGAATTATTCAGAGTCCGGAACCTCCCCGGGACAACGAACGCTGGCTTTCTTGACCATCACCACCTTCCTTTCTGCCTCGACCTCCTTCACGACTGGGGTACTCTGTCCTTGCTGAGTATTTCCTCCAGCTTGAGCCGAGTCCTTTCCCTTCTTGCTCTTCTTCTTCTTCTTCTTCTTTTTCTTGGCTGCCTCGGGAACAGTAGGGGAATGATATTCCGGGAATAGATCTGGATTATCAGCCATGAGCTCTCGGATAAGATCCAACATATCCCAGTGCGGATCAGTGCAGACTTCGCCTGATGACGATTCCTGGGTAGATGCTTGGCCATGGCCCTTGGACACCTGGGGATTCCCCTTTGAAGTATTGTCGCTGGGTCCATCCTTATTCCGTCTGAGATTCGATGTGCCACTACCGCTCCGGTGAACCCTCTCCGGCGCAATCGGCCCAAATCTTTGCTCTGGGAAGTGTTCTGATATCGAGGCACCTGGTTCAAGCAATTTTTCTGCCTTCTTTGGCTTGGTGGGCTTTTCAGGTAAAAGTAGGTACCTACTGCCTTTCTGTTTGGCCATAGCGTCGGATAAGCGGTGGTATCGGTGTACGCGAATGTACTCGTCCGACTTTGCTGCCATCATGAACAGCTTCTCCTTGACGTCGCGTTCATCAAGCATGTCTCGACCTTCGGCAGCGGTGGAAAGTCCTCGTGTGGTAGCTCCAAACCCCGGCATCACCGTGGGTGTTTCGTACCAGATGAGGATCTGTCGATAGAAGACTCCCGTACTCCCCTCGAGGATAGCCAACATTTGGTATGCCTTGGCGAGGAAACACATAGCGCGCGCAATATCAGAGTGGTAACCAGCGATCATGGCACACTTGCCCCAAATCATGGCAACGCGAGCATCGCGGATCTGGCACGTAAGAAGCCTGCCGATCATCTCCTGCGCGGACTTGAAAGCCATTGCGGGATACAAGTCGACAGTGTCAGGGTGGTTCAAGATGCGCTCAATTTTCCAATACTTATCCATGGTAATCTCGATCACGTCCTTGGGCTGCGCACACGCTTTGCACGAGCAGAAGAAGCCGAACTCAGTCCACGAGAACAACTCCCTCGCCTTCTGCTGTCCCTTCCCATAGAAGTACGCGACAGTGATTTCCTCATCCTTCGGAATATTCTTGAGAGCGCGCACAACAGCCCTTCCAACCATCGGACTTTCCCCAATATTAATATTTCCATCCTCATTCTTCGGATAATTATTGATGATCGTCAACGCGCAATTCGGCACACAAGCATGATTAACCGACGCAAGATTCAACCCCACAATCCCAGCTTTCACCCCATTCATGACAATCGGCAACTGATACAAATCCCAAATCCCCGCAAACACCCCCAAATCCTGCTTCAGCGAGCTCGGCAGAGCAAGGAATTTCCTCAGCCACTCATCCCCCATGGCCCTCACCTTCGCCCCAAGCATAGCATTTACCTCCCTCGGCGTCTGACACCCCAAAGACTCCTTCTCTGTAGTCCAAGCCACATCTTCCGCAAAGAGCACACTACCAGCAGGGATAGATTCAGTGGTAACAAGGCCGACGCCAACGCCACGGCTAATGAACCGACGCACCAGCGACTCCTCATACGTGTACTTCTTGGCCCCGGGGTTATTAGAGCTGAAAACGCCCGCCACCTCAGCCATGGAGATGAATGGTGTCGCGGAAGTGACTGTCGAAAACGCACGGTGGAAGTGCTGTTTCAGGTTCGAGAGACGGATCTCCTCACAACATGAATCCCACGTGTCTGCATTCTGGATTAGCGTGGCTTTTTGTTAATCCCCTGTGTTTCTGGTCTGCATTGTGAACATTCACTGCATGATAGCTGGCACTCACGTGATGGTTCGTAACCTATGCGCTTTTGCTCCATGGTGCCCGGCTAGCTATATTCTCTGTGAGGAGTGTACCAATCAGCATATGTTTGTTCTGACAAAGAGATGAACAAAGCTAATCTTAGTAAAATCGCTTTATCTGGTATCAACAATGCGGGCTGCAGTGAGTGAAGCAGGGTGTGGACAAAGAAGCTGGTCTTCTCCAGTGGCGAACAGCGGTAGCTGCTATTGAATCAAACAAGATAAGACAGAGTCCGACGTACCTTGTTCTTTCAGCTCTTTGTGAGTTGAGGTTAAAGGAAGGAGGGAAGCATAGTGGCTTAGGGGAGGGAGAAAGAGGAGAGCGCTTGTTCGGTATGTCTCGCCTCCAGTGTCGCCAGGGATCTAGAGAGGCAGTCGACGCTGTAGAAGACCCAACAAGCAACACCCAAAGAAATGACAGACGCAGCGTGCTGGGAGGAATGAAACTCTCAGGGTTGCTAAGAAGAGTGTGTTGTTATGTTCTCGGCGCTACTGACTATGATGTCGTGCGTGCAGAAAGTGGCTAGGCAAACAGCCAAGAAATCCAGACGTAGATGTGCTATTAAATCTCTATTTTAATGGTCTCTTCAATGTTTTTACATGGTATTATTGCCCATGCTGGCTAAAGCCTGCTCTTCCAATACTCGCGTCACGCCAAACTTCCACATGATACATGGTATCTCAGTAGGGGAAAAAAAAAAAAAAGAAA